ATTCACAAAATAACTGCCACGACAATAAAGTATTTTTTTTTCTTCTTTTAAGTAGCAATCTATATAAAAAATTTCCTATTACGTCCAGAGAATTTTATTACCAATATCCTGTGGTTCTATTAAATGAAAATTATCCGTCACCCCTATCATAAAAACTCGAATAAACAACTTTAAAAAATGTGTTCCAATGTACACCGAAGTATTAGGTCATTATTATTTACAACCTTAATAACAACATGGCCCTGAAATTCCAATTTGTCAAAACATAGTCCCCCAAGCAATCACTCATGAGTACCAATCGAGTACTAAATCGATACGTACACAACCAGTCTGAACGAACGACCGAACGAATGAATGATCGATTGTATGAACGAAGAAACTAAGAATTGTTTAGTACTTTCCCTTAGTATAGATATATTATCGGAATACTATAGTGCAACCCTTAGAGCTTAACAACTCTGAGTACATTATGCTGTCAATTACGTACTTAATTTCAATGAAAATCTCTCATTTTTCCATTCAGTTTAAAAAGGGACATTTACGCTATTGTACTGCTGAAGTCTAAGGGCCTGTCTCACCACTGGCTGATAAAGGCTCAGATAATTAAATTTAAAAATGACTGTTATAAAGAGAATAAAATCCGATATTTCTATCACATATTTTACACGTTCGATTATTAGGAGATAATTTTCCCACCTAAGTAAGCTAAAATCTATTTTATCAGGAACTCAATTTTAATTTATCTAATATTTTATAGAAAACGGTTTTAATCAATCATGTATTATTGGAGAACCGTATTTTGTAATTTTATTAGAGTTCACATGTTCGGTCTGGTGGAAACGAACCTTTATCCCTTCCCTATACAAACCTAACGTCCTCGCCTATCTATTAAACGACAGTTATCTGCATGATTGATTGCCCGCGCATGCAAAAACCAAGGGAATCTATCACAGCCGCCAATCTGACGAGCATTCCCTCAATACCTAAATTATACTAACAAACTAAACAATTTAAAAAGCGAACATTAATAAACGATCCATCCGATGAAAAGATAAGGAAACAATAAATGTAATCCAGCATTCCTTAGTTTACACCAAGCTAGTAATCCAGTCGAGTACTGAGTAATTTAGTAACTAGACGAAAGTATTTTAGCTCCTAAATTCTTAAGTACATATGTCATTTATATATTTTTAAAATCTACCAAATCTATGTTATTGCAAAATGAATTTTACTCAAAATTATTCTTACCAATAACATACTTTTAACATGTTACACAATAGTAACAAATTGGGGTTTATTAAAATAATGTCTGACATCCATTAGTGTTATAACAAGCAAATATTTCGTCTACGAGCACCTTGCTGCACGGTACATTTGCGGCACAATCCATTGCTATCAAGTGTACAGGGGTAGAGGGTAATGTATGTGCCACTTTAGCTAATATCCCCCTTGAATAGGGGTGTAGGTACAAGCACGAAACTGAAGGAAAGCAGATTTACCAACGCTTTATACTATTTCATTACCAAAAATCATTTACTAATCTATAATAATATAATAAAGCGTAAACACACACTACTTCGTGGCGTAGGATGTCAGCAATTACAGCATAAATTTGTATTCTTTCTTTAATAAAAAGCCCTACACTTATGGCACGCTTTAGGCTAAATAGCATCAAATTCACGCTATTAAACTTAGGGGGTAAATAAATTGGAAGAAACCTCCACGTGGGAAAGGGACCATAAACTACAAGCTGCCAACATTAAGGAATTTTTATCCAATGTCAAAGGGTTTTGTTGTTATTTGTGCATTTGAATTTTGATATTCGCAAATGTAAACAATTAATTTTTTTTTATAGTTTCATGCGGATGAAGCCGCATGGAAACAGCTAGTTAAGAAGTAATTTGATAATAAAATAACTAGCTTAACAAGAGCTGTACCAGAGTTCTCAAGAAGACAAAACTAGATGATTTCTTTATTGGTTTTTACCTAATGGTAAAGTTGAAATGACTGAAAAAAAATGTTAGTGATTATTTATTGAATTTTATAATTATTTTACAGTTTTGTTAGAAATATTTACATCACGCTAAAATACTCTGCAATTTAAACAGTCAAAGCATCAAAATCTGTAGCAAATAATTTCACAATTCACGTAGAATTAAATCCAACCGCAGTTTCGGTGAGACAGACTTCGTTTTCTGATATCGTAAAACCTCTTTCGCGTATCTTTAATCGTTCTATTCTGTTAGCGATGTTTTCTTTGTATTCCAAAGCACAGAAAATTATAAAACACATAACTATCGCACCAAAAACATAGTAACAATTGTCTTCCAAAATATATACAACAATCGATGAAGGAATCATCTTTGTATCTCCAAAAACACGTTATAATAACGCAAACATAAATACAAGTTAATGAAATATTGGTTTTATTTTATTCAGAAATTATTTTAAAATTTAACAAGATATCTGCAACGTCTATGTAAGACAACGTCAAAATGACTAATCAGAATATTGTCAATGATAAACATAGAGTTTCAAATGCATACATAGAGGAGGCATAGTTGATTCACATGATTTTTTTCACATAATCACTAACGCTATTCACAAAACCATAGATCCACAAAACCACATCTCAATATTAAAAATTAATTTCAAATTGTAATTAAATTAATTGCCAACAGTGGTCATTAAATAACATTCTTTGTAACACTGTTTACTTCATTTTACAACAAAAGATGGAGCTTACAATTTCCTAAACTTCACAACTGATATAGTATCTTTCAGAGAAAGTACCGGTATAAAATTATGCTCGCAATGCCTCGTTTATATATTATTTAAATGTCTATGATGATAAAACAGACAATAATTAATTAATTGCACAGATAAGATAGGCAAAGCCTCCTTAGATAACATAGGAGGTTAATTGGTGGTTGAATTATGACAAGCCTTATTACAATGGCTTTAAAGTACAAAATTACTTATGTAATCAATTCAAAACACAATGATCGAGTCCATAGACTGCAATAAGCTAAGTTACAATTACTAAATCCTGTCCCTTCCCATTCTTCCTTGTTACAAAATCATGGGAAGAGAAGAAGACTAGAATTTGCAAGCACAACTTTTTAGTATATCTGTACCATTATAATAAAGCGTAAACACACTTCTTTGCTGCCTAAGATGTCAGCAATCACAGCATATTTTCAAATAACACTTTTTTAATAAAAAGCCCTAAACTTACGTCACGTTTTAGGCTACACATTTTCACGCTGTTAAACTGAGGGGTAAATATTTTGGATAAATACCCTAATGTGGGAAAGAGACTATAAGTTGTTGCCAACATCAAGGAAGCAAGGTTGCCATGGTTTGTCATTGTCATGTCATTTTGACATTTGCAATTGATAATTTGACAAATGTTAACAATAAAATTAAATTTTTATAATCTCATACGGATGAAGTCGCACGGGAACAGCTAGTAACTATATATAAATGAATCTAATATTTGCATTAGTTTAGCTAACATGCAGCAGTGTCATAAATGAATGCAAATCCGGATCGTAAAAGCATCGCTAAAACGCAGAGGAAATGCAAAAGAGACGTCGGGACATAGAGTGAATTAATTAAACCGCTTCTCAAAGTAAATCAGACTCAGCACGTAGACTTATGAATTTATATTACTTACAGACCTGGGAATAATATCTAACATTTAAATTATGGTCTAACTGCTGTCTATACCTTCCGTTAAGTCTTTAAATTTCAATTATTATTCCTCAATTCACAATAACCAATCTTTAATTCTCTTATTCATGTTATAACGCATATTTTACACATTTAAAAATAGACGACCCAAGTAATCCTTCAATAATAAATCCATCAACGAAAAATGACAAAATAAACTTACAAGGATATAAAATAAATCGATCCAAACTTCATCCGAAACAAAATCCCCGTATTAAATCCATACAATCTTATAAGAGACAGCCATCATGAAGGCTTTCAAAAACAATTTAGACACGACTAAAGACGCATTAAGGTGCACCAGGCCAATTATTTCCACCCCTATGTTAGGGATGAAGAAAATTGTATAAGATGTTTTCAAACGTTTGCTTTTAGATTACTAAATTGTTATATTACTTTAAGAATAAACAATGCTTGTAGAAATAACATAAAGTGCAGTCCTTTTTTATTACTTTAGCTTTACATAACCTCTAAAGCATATTTTACCATCGTTTCTAAGTCTATTAGATAGCTATTTTTACTGACAAAAGTTAACAGAGCTCGAGTCTCGGGCACAGACGTGATGAAATGGCGTAAGTTACCAATCACGGGACCCCAATCCTGTTGCCAATTAAAATAAAATAAAGTTCTATGTAACACACGTTTAGGAACTGGACTGGACTCCTGAACTAGGTTTTACGAGCGAATCCCTTCCCCTTAAATTGAGTACCTAAATAGAGAGAAAAAAAATCACAATTGTAACAATCTGTTCAAAAACACTTAATGCTCAACAATACATTGATTGAAGATTCAAATAATTCTAATCAAATGGACATGTATTATGAAACAAAACGCGTTCTATTTCTAAAATAATGTCATCGAATAGAATATCAACAAAAAGGTAAACAGAATTTAACAATACCATTTTCCTTTGTAAGCAATGTTTAAAAGTTTTATGATTTGTCGGGGACTATGGCACCAGACGCGTCATATTTTGAAATATCGGAAATATGGTCACAAAGCTTCTTTGACGAGGGCTTGGACATTTCAATCAATTGTTAGGTTATTTTGAAACTTGAAGGGAAAGATTGCTAAAGTAAACGTAGCGTATTGTAATTTTTTTTAACATCAAAACAAAAATAAGAAATGCAAAAACAAATTTTTAAATGTGACTTGTTTGTAAACATATTCAGATTTTATAGTAACATGGTAAATAACGGATTTAACATGACTAATTTGATTAAAAAATAATGGTAGTGAAAAAATTTAAAAACAGCGCCATCTACCTTATCACCGTCGAACTTCTCGACTTGTTCATCGCTGCACCGAACTTTCTCGCGAGAGGCGCGCCGCACAACAACGGGTGTTTGCGGTGGCGACACTAGCGCCACGCTGCTCCTAGCGCTCCCCGGTGGCGATTTTATAAATTCAATCTTCCCTCCTTCCACGCAAATATTCGGTGTTAGAGGATACATGGGCGACATTGCTACATTCGTATTGGCTAAATGGCTGTACATCTGATTGTCTTCTAGAGGAAGAGATTTCGGCTTTGGTTTTTTGCGGTAAGTCGAATCGTAAGCAAGAAATTGTGCTTTGTCTTCAGGGTGGATTTGTCGCACTTTCCCGGGCGGTCGGTCAGGTGGCTCTGGGGAGACACTGCCATCGTCGGTTCCAGGACTTTCGTTTCTTTCATTGTTTGATCCTCTGAAACAAAAAATACATGTTACGTTAATTTGCGTTTTATTTTCCACATATTAAGAAAAAATCATTTTACAAACAAATACAATTATAACGCAACGGCATCTGACAAAGCACGGTAAATCCTAAAGAAACGTTGTTTCGTTCTATTTTCACCCAACTGTTGATAGATGGCGTTGAAGTACACAAATAACTTAAAATTGAAAAAAACATAAAATAAGCCAATAAAATCAATTAAATAAATTCCTACTTCATCATTTAATAAAGTAGTAGATCGCATCGAACAAAATCAAAATAGTTTTGAAAAAATTTAGACAAATATTTTCAACAAAAAGTATCGAAGTTCTGAATCGCGCTATTGAAATTTTTCTCCTTAGTCCGTATATATACGAACAGCGAAGTACAGCGATTGGAAGTGTATTCTCTAGTGTGATGCCACTGCTGTTCTTGATCGCCCGTTCTACGGCGCTGGTCTCTATAGTTTGTGACGTCACGCGCTTCGTTGAGGCAATGCCCCTGTAAGGTGCGCCGCGGACGCTCGCCCGCGCGGCTGCGACGGCCCGGCGGCGCACCTTCCTCGGGCAGCCTATGAACCTCTTTACGCGGTTTTAGTTAACACGTTAGCTTAGCTCCGGTTAAATTTGAGCACTTCCATATGTTGGCGACGAGAGTAAACGCTCGATTGCCGGTTTTTTGTTATTTTAATTAATTGTACAAGTTAGAATACTTTTTTAGTACAACTTTTAAAGCACAAGTCTTCAACATTACTTTTGAGTATATGAACTAGCTGTTGCTAGCGTCTGCGTCCGCGCGGAAATAAAAATTGTAACATACTCGTATTATGTAAATTATGTTACTCAGCTATAAGGTAGCTTTTTAATGGTGAAAGTTTTTAAAATCGACTCAGTAGTTTTTGAGTTATTTCAATACATACAAAAATACAAATCTTTCCTCTTTATACTATTAGTATAGATAATTATTTTTTGACAAAAAAAAATATATATCGACGAATTGAGTACCTCCTTCTTTTGGGAAGTCGGTCAAAAACAGTACCCTTCCATTTATCTGAACAATTTGTGCAGTTACATAAACCTAAAATAAATCAAAGATAGTGTAGTAATTGATTGCATTAGCAAAAAAAAAAAAAAAAACATACAGACGAATTGAGTACCTCCTTCTTTTGGGAAGTCGGTCAAAAAAAGCAAACTTGAATAGGTATCGGACATTCGCTTGGTAATCATTTTAAAAAGAAAACAACCGTATATGCTGGATGCGAATAGAACAACTTAATTGTACTAAGAAATAAGAACAAATAAGTCAGCTTAAAATGTGTTTAGGGTTGCCTTTCAATAAAAGTACACCTGAACATTGGCAGTGCAAAAATGTACCAGACATTTATCAACCTTTTCTTTTCTACTTTACGGACAGCGTAAAAAAATGTTGATTAGCTCCCTTGATCCTAAGCGGTCGGGCCTACTGATGATATGGGACTAAAGCCTAAGTTTTGGCAACCCTAGTTACATCTCAGCTACCGAACCCTCGAAGCTGTTATCGTTTGTGCTTCTAAAGAATTTTGCTAGCTGATAAGTTGCGAAGTTGAGATACTTTTCTCGGTATTTATTTGTTGTGAACTTTTTAATCCTATTGGAACTAACTTTATAATTTATAACCCAGTATTTCTATCTTATTCATTTGAACTATAATTAATTGTACATGAAATACTTAGATTTTAGTATAAAACAGCAACTGTATGAGTACACTGAAGATCTTTTAAAGAAAAACTTGATTATATGGCGGTAAACCGCGACTCCGTCCCCGTGGAATTCAAATATAGGAGAGTATGTAACCTATGTGTTCTTCCAGACTATCCTCTACATCTATACCAAATTACATCGAGATCCCTTCACCCGTTTACAAACTCGAATATTTTCCTTAAACACTGTATAGAATACGTATTTTTATTACGCAATGCACAATGGAATAGATGTAAACGCTACTGAACGTTTTGAAATGCAAATTTTGTAAAAGCGTGTTTGTGGTTATGCGGGACATAAAATGGTGCGTATACAACTGATCATTGCTGTATATTGCACTTTCAAAGCAAAATGCGATGCAATATTTGTCCATGCTGTACAAAATCAAGAGCTAGATATTCTCACACAAAGAAGGCGAAAAGTAGGAAATGAAAATACAGTCGTAGACGCTAGCAACATATGTTGCACGAATTGGACTCACCCAATTCAATACCCCTATTATAGACAAGCATAAAGTGGAAGTAACTCTACTTTTCGCTTGAAATGTGTGCATGCCGGAAGCCTAGATTCTTATCTCTTGCCACCCTTAACTTATAAAAGAAGTGAATTTGGTGAAGGTGGGATCGCATGCTGTGCGTCCCATCTTCTCGATTAAAGGAAGGCACCGTATCTATTGAAGATATTTATGGGCAGCGGTTGCTTTATTATTCTGCCAATTCAGGTGACCGCTTGGTCGTTTACCACTTTATAAAAATGCCTATATTGCTTGTAATAAGCCAACATAACTATTAAGTGAAAAACTAGATAACACATTCTAAAATCATTTCAAATTTACTTCAAGCTAAAAGGTACAGTAATGTAACTTCGTGGTGTTCCACTTTGGAAAAATTGCCTATATTCATTGCACCGAGACAAACTCCCCGTCTTCCTACACATATCTAATTAGATAGCAGTTACTACAAACGAAGGGATAATAAGAAACTGGCCGTGTATAAACGACTTTTGTTACACATAAACTGCGTTGTATTAATATTTGTTCCGCGTGTAGTTTCAAATTGTTCCAACGATTGTTACTTTTAAGGTGGGACATCGCTATTTTCCCGACTGTACACAAAGTACCAACAATTTAAACAGAAATAGTATATTTCTTAACTGCATCTTCGCTCAGGATTAAAATCTTATTTACTGCTTGTTGAGCGTTTAACTTGCGTTGTTTACGATTATCATACTTTGTTAAAACGAATACAGAAATAACTTCTTACATGTCCTATATAATTGCATTCATTTGGAATGAGACATTTCATTTACACACTAGCGTTCGACCGCGACTCCGTATGTGTGAAATTAAAAATATGTATTATTTAATTATGCCAACTATCTTATTCCGTTACATTTATGTAAATTTTTTTCAAGTTCCGGTTAGCAGTTTAGGCCACGACCTCCGATAAATATCCATCCATCCAAACTTTAAAGTTTGAAGATAAAACTTGATGATGTAAACATCTTATTAATTCTTTTACATATAAATGTGATCATTTCGATGGATAGATGTTTTTTAAAGATTGTAGCCTAAACTGCTGCACGGATTTCGATGAAATTTGGCACAGATGTAGTGTAGAAGATAGTCCTGAAGAACACATACGGTTCTTAGTTTTTTGTTTAATTCTACGCCGACATAGTTATGATCGAAAGCTAATTTGTATTAGTCAGATTTATCTTTCTGGCTTAATAGCCTATGGTTTTTTTAATTGATGATACAGATATATCTGTTTATAAGTCTATGATTGTAGTCTTATAAAGATACAGAATGGTTATTCATTGAAAAATAAAGATTTAAAAAACCTGAAGTAATCTGAGTTGTATTTTATATTACAAAGCGATCTATCAATCGGTATGTTTATCTCAACAAAAAGAATACAATCGTCTCAATAAACAAAGGTTTTTATTGTATCATTGCTTAATATACAAATGTATGCATGTTTGTATGTTTGTTCAAACAAGATTACGTTAGCGACAAACATTTGTATTAAACACGGACCCGTTACAAAACACTGCATTAATAAGATAATGAATCAAATGAATGTAGACTCTATTTAGTTGACAATAAGATTCATTTTACAACCGTACACGTTAGTAACCGGTACATTAATTTAGTAATAAGTGTCCGATGTACATAAAGACAGATTGACGCTTGTACAGGTTCAATCGTGTGGTAAATAAATTCTGAATTATGTACGGTGCTGAGATTAATATTGTTCTTATTGGTGAATTAATATGTTCCAAATTTAGTAGGGATATACTAATATAATGAAGCGTAAACACACACTTCTTTGTTGCCTAAGATATCAGCAATTACAGCTTATTTTTGAATAGTTTTTTTTTTAATTAAAAGCCCTACACTTACGTCACGCTTTAAGCTAAATATTTTCACGCCATTAAACTTAGGGGTAAATATTTTGGATAATAACCCTAATGTGGGAAATAGACTATAAGCTGTTGCCAACATCAAGTTTGCCATGGTTTGTCATCGTCATGTCGTTTTGACATGCAATTGATAATTTGACAAATGTAAACAATAAATTTTGTTTTTTTATAATTTCATGCAAATAAAGCCGCACTGGAACAGTTAGTCTATATGTAATTTAATTGTCAAGACAATTATGCCGTAACACACATAAAAAAAAACATACAGACGAATTGAGTACCTCCTTCTTTTGGGAAGTCGGTCAAAAAACGCGAACATGATTAATGTTGATTCTAATATAAATCCATTTGTTTTAATTGTACACTGTCCCCACTGCCGCGTTTGTTACGGATAATCTCCGGAACCCATGAACAAATTTCTCGTTTAAATTTGTTCAAGATTTCCGGAGATTTTGACTTTGACTGGAAGGTTAGTACTGGCCGAAATGGTATAAATACTTTTTTAATGCAGCTCTAACGAAGTTGTGGGCAACTTAAAGTAGAAATTCGTTATCTGGTTTAAACGAGAAGCGATCAAAAATTATGAAACAAGAAAGTCGTTTTTCAATTGTTTTATAAGTAACAACGCTGGTATATATTTTTAACGCACTTGGACGGTTATTTAATATAACGAGATCATTTTAAACTCCTAAGACCGAGAGCTCATCATCGCTTGTTTGTTTTCGTTAAGTTTCTTTTTTTTCTATTTCTAAATGCGTCCAACGGGAAGGAAGCATCATGCGCCAGTTCCCGTAACGTCGCAAAGATATTTTACGTTCATTCAAAAAT